CTACCACGTGTTAACGGACAAGTGGAAAGACTGAATGCCATCATTATTTCAGTTCTATCCAAACTGAGTGTGGATGATCCCACAAAGTGGTACAGACGCGTCGATCGAGTTCAACAAGCCATTAACTCCACTTTTTCGAAAAGCATCGACTCCACTCCTTTTGAGGTTTTAATCGGAGTCAAAATGAGAAACAAAGATGACCAGAAGCTTCAAGAAATTATCAACAACGAGTCCATAGCCTTATTTCAGAACACGCGCAACAACCTTCGACTCAAGGCAAAAAGACAAATTTTGAAAATCCAAACCGAAAACAAGAAGACCTACAACTTACGACGTAAACCGGCAATGACTTATAAGATTGGTGAACTAGTAGCCATAAAACGAACGCAGTTTGGCGGCGGTCTCAAACTAAAACCGAAGTATTTGGGTCCTTACGAAATAACCAAAGTGAAGCACAATAATGCCTATGATGCCCAAAAAGTCGGCAACTCAGATGGACCAAAAATTTCTTCAACCTGTGCAGAGTACCTTAAGCCGTGGCCCACCCTCGAAGACAAAGACGAAACATTCGAGGCGAATGTTTAATCAGAATGGCCGAATGTGGGAGTGAGATTGTATTATTCCCCGAATCCTTCACATAAAACCCCAGCATTCGTATAACATGACGCCCTAGACAACGAGAGAAGCAACTAAAACGAAGAAGACGAGTGGATGATCAAAAGACGAATTCCAAGAAGACGAGCGTTCTAAGAAGACGAGCGTTCCAAGAAGACGAACGTTCCAGGAAGACGAGCAGACGACGATCACTACAACGAGATGTGACGAAGAGGAGACGAGCAGAGCAACATATCGAGAGGACGAGAGTTAGTTGCTGACGAGATCGAGTTGAGTAAAGTCGTGCTCAAGCGAACGGTTAAATCAAACACAAAGATTACTTACTATGTTACTTAATATTAATAATCAAACTTTTAAATTATAACTTTCATAATAAATAAAAACCCCACAGTATTACTAAATAAAATCAACATCCAAAAGCTGTCCTCTGAGTAGAAAGAAGCTCTTCTAATGATTTGTAAGATATATAACTCTACTTCTTATTAGAAGGACCAAGATTTATCATTTACCAATAGTAAAACAGAATATTAAACAGAATATAAAACAGAATATAAAAACCACAGATGACTCTCCAATATATACGAAATCTTATAGATACCCGTATATTCTCAAGGAAAAAGTCCGAAAATAAATAGATGACCTCTTAAAACAGGTTATTATCCGCTCTAGCTGCTCCCCTTGGAGCACCCGGTTTTGAAAGCTCCAAAAAAGACAACTGCAGTAGAACATAAAAGAGTGATTGAGTACAGAAAACTGAACGATGCCGCTCGGACTAAAGATTTCCCCGGCAACCTTTCAAAGGGTAATGGACAACCTGCTTAGTGAGCTTATTGGAAACCCCTTTATAGTTTACCTAGACGACTTAATTGTGTTCTCAACTTACGATTAGAAAATGTTTTCGAAAAAATATAACAATCCAATCTTAAATCTTATGTTCTAAAAGAAGAAAAAATCATTCGTTGGTCACATAGTGACAACAAAAAGAATTAAACCAAACCTTGATAAAATTGAGGAAATTAAAATGTTCCCAATTCCCAACACAGAAGGAAGTAAAATCTTTCATAGGTCGCTTTAGTTTGTATAGGAAATTTATAAAAGATGACGCGAAGATATCGAAACCAATGACAGCTTCTTTAAAAAAATGTGCCAAATTTTCACACAGAAAAATTTTAGAAAAATTTCATACTGACCACGGACGCAAGTAATATCGGAAGCAATAAACCAATCTGTTTTGCTAGCCGAACACTCTCTCGAAGTAAAACAAACTATTCAACAATCGAAAAAGAACTCTTAGCAATAGTATGGGCTGTAAAATATTTGCGGTCCTACCTCAACGGAAGGCAATTCACAATTGTAACCGATCATAAGCCTTTAACTTAAAATAACCTAATAATAATAATAATAATAATAATAATAATAATAATAATAATAATAATAATAATAATAATAATAATAATAATAATAATAATAATAATAATAATAATAATAATAATAATAATAATAATAATAATAATAATAATAATAATAATAATAATAATAATAATAATAATAATAATAATAATAATAATAATAATAATAATAATAATAATAATAATAATAATAATAATAATAATAATAATAATAATAATAATAATAATAATAATAATATCGGAAAATTGTTTCTGATTTAACGACAGACTTTCTTTTATTGCCTTTTCAAAGGTTCAAAGGGCGTCAAGGATGCCCCCAAGTCGTCCAGGTGACGGAGACCCAATATCTTCCAGGTACCTATTGACAGCACTTCGGACCCCGGACCAGTTGCTTGCCGATTGTCTCGTCAGCCAGGCAAGTGTTCTGGCAAGTTTGTTGCAAGTGGCACCCAGAGAAGCCAAACATCGTGAAAGGGTAGCTAGTCGTCGTGGCGGAGGACAACCTGCAACCCCAACAGTAGCTCCTTGGATGAATCGTCGCAACTAACGCAGGGAAGGTCAGGGTCTCCGATGTTACGCGCCGTGATGGAGGAATTTTTTAAGGGCTTGAAGCCTTACAGAACTTCAACGGGGCCGGTGTAGGTCCACTTGATTTTCTTTTTTTTTAATATTTGAAGTTATTTGAAGTCGTTAACATCAAGTTTACTGGAAGGCGGGAGCACCACAAAGCTCTGTCTCACACTTTGCAAATGTGCCCCGTCTTCGCCAAACTTCGTTAAGCTAGGCCCTAAGTACTTTTATATAGATTAAATAGGCACTCGAAAATTTATTTCGCACGCAGTTTTTTTCGCATTCGTTTGCCCAAACAAAAGACACTAAGTCGTTCTCGGCTTTGTTAAATAAGAAAAAATATTCTAATTTTTGAATCCGCAAAGTAGCAGGTATGTCATTAGAAAACACTGCAGAGTTTTGAAGATCAGCTGACGAAGAAGAGAGGAGGAGAGCAGGAAGTGGCCCATTATCTCCGTCTATTAGTTTGTGAAGCTCATTCATGTGCTCTGTGCACTGTACACTCTCGCTCCCATTGCGTCGGACATACTGCTGCTTATACATAGTTGCTGCTGTAGACGTTACTGCTTGTAAATGCTGCTGCTTTTAGTTGCTGTTGTAAATGGTGCTTATAATTTTTGGCGAGCTCACCAAAATTTTTAAATTTTTTTATGGGTAAATTGGGTTTTGATTTCATTGTGGATGTATTTGTTTTTGTGCTTATGATTATTTTTAATGCACTTGTATTTTTGTCGTATCGTACAGTAAATGTTCACTTATCACAAAAACCGTATTAGGTAATGTTAATGGCCTCAAGTTTATATAGCAACTTTTAGCTTTATTTCAAGACTAAATATGGTGCTTTAAATTAAAAACAAAATAGATTCTTTTGTATAATTTTGCTTATAATGTTATACACTGTTTCTTACCCCGGGTGGGTGAAAAAGAATTTTTTTATTTTGCTACCTTAGCTCCAGTACATACAGAATTTAAGGAGCTGGTTTATAACTCTGAGTATCTAACCACTGGTGGGGGAAAACTGCAGACTGCCTCGAAGGACCAAGATGAAAAGAACGCCCAAATAAATTTACATCTTCATTTGCTGAGTTATAATTTCAAACTGTTTTATTTCATGAAGTTTCTTTGCAAGTATCATTAGTGTGATTCGTTTTCTATTCTTATCTATGGCCTACTGAGCGGGAGAGACATATTTTGAACCACCGCTCAAGTCTTTTGTACACCGTGGTTAACATTTTAAATGATAATTTATGGAGGCTCAAGTGGCCAGCACTTTCAGATTACAAGTGCTAACGAGTGTTCTATTGCATGGCTTGATTAAAAGATCATAAATTATGGCTCTGAAACGATTGACAAATTGACATGCACAGAGCTCATAAAATCTTATAATCGGTATCCCACGTAGTGGCTTGCTTATCCCCAACTTGGGAAAGCATTCCTAAGTGCGATAAAGGAGATCACTGATATCACTTATAGTGAAAGACATTTTATGAGGTCTCGCAGGAGGTCATTTTACATGTTATGTGTATATATATTTTTTTAAATATTTTAATGTTTTTAAGAATATTTAATTTTTGCAATAGCTGCAAGGGTATAAGAACTTCGGCTTGCCGCAGTTTGCTTACTTTCTTGGTAGCCCGAATACCAATCCTAAAGCTTTTTTGGCTGGTCAAAATGACAAATGATTTCAGAAGCCAGATAAAGAAATAGGAAAGCATTTTTAAGCCTAGCAATCAGATCATATAAATAATAACTTTAATCTATTCTGTATACAAATTGCTGACTTGGAAAGCGTTTACGTCCCAAGGTCCCACTTCTCTTCTGACTAGGGCTCTAGCTAACAGAAATTCAGATGGCCGCCATCTAATTTGCATTTTTTTCGGCTAAATATCAGCTGGAATCGTGTGGTTAAGAACATCTATTCCACCTTCTAGGATTAACTGGTACGTTTTTGGCACGACAAAACCTTACGGACTATCCAGCAAATGGGTGGACTTAAGGCAAGATGCAACTAGGATAAAAGAGATATAATATCAGATAAATATCATGAATAAACTGCGTTTCTGGCTTAAAATATATTGACAATACGTCCTGAGTTACAGGTGTAGCCAATAAAGCTTTATGCGCTCGTAGGTGTGGAGTGTGCAGCTTTATGTCGTCGGTACTCCAGAATAAAGTTTTAACCATCAAACTATTTGTTAAGCAGTTACGCAGAAAAGGCTTCTCGAATTTGAAGAGTCTGATCAATTGTTGTTTTAGGACTCTGTACATAACCCAATGTATTTTGCTGTTTTACTCATTCGACAAATGTATGTAACTGTGCAGTTAGTTAGGTACCTCAGAGTCGGAAATCTCGACCTTAGCATTAGTTTATACTTTTTTTATTATTTGATAATCAATTTATTTCAGATCAAACAAATCGAGAAATCTATTCACACTGGAGAGCTGCAAATTCGAGAGCATCAACAGTTTTGGATTATGTTGCAGAATCACTTTGTTAATTTGTCCCAAAAAAGAAGCAACCAGCTAATCGAAATTCAAGTTACTCGTAAACGTAAGTAATCTATAAATTATAGTTTATATTACCAATGAATAAGTTTCTACTCAGGTAGCATGAGTATACAATAAGAATGCCGATAGGATAAGCAGGCCTTTTAGTTCCATGCTCAAAATACATAGGCCGAGAAAAAAAGTCCGATGGTACTGAACTGAACTGAACTCAATCATTCCTGACCTACTTTACTTATTGCAACAGATCCCCCTCTCAGATGGTTTCTACGTGTGACACACGTCTATATTATATTTTAAATAATTTGGTTTGTGACATGAAAGCTAACAATCAGATTTTTACAAGTTATTTATTTCATAGAGAATTTCACTGTTTAGTTGTTCCTTTTAATATATTGTTAATAACCTTAAAAAATCAAAATTTTTTTGCTGCGGAAGGTTTTTAGTTAATCGCCTTTAAAAGAGCACAAATCAGCAAACAAATTTTGCAGACTTTTCACGACTATAAACGTAGCTTCTGCTATTAGTGCACTTCTTTTTGCAAAAAAAAATTATTGTATAATAATTGTTATACCTTGAAATAGACTTATATTTATCATTATACATTTGCTAAGCAAAAAAATATATTAAAGGGCAGTACTCTTAGAATTTATTGTTTATCGGAATACTTACCATATTTGTTGCGTCCAGTATAGAAAGCTCTCTTTTTAAGCAAGCTGAGAGATTTATGAGATTTTAAGATGTAAATATTTTTGTTCATTATTGAAAAAAACAGCAAAGTTATAATTTTTGTTCATTTTTTTCCGATTGTTCCTATGGGAGCTATATGATATAGTCGTCCGATTTTGATGAAATTTAAATTGTAATTCTGAAATAATTAACCAATACTAGATGTCGAAGAACTAAGAAAAAAATTAAAAAACAGCTAAATTATAATTATACCCTTGCAGAGGGTATTATAATTTCAGTCAGAAGATTGCAACGCAGTGAAGGAGACATTTGCGACCCTATAAAGTATATATATTCTTGATCAGCATCACTAGCAGAGTCGATCTAGCCATGTCCGTCTGTCCGTCCGTCTGTCCGTTAGTCTGTCCTTCCGTCAGTCTGTTCGTCCGTCAGTCCGTTCGTCTGTCCGTCCGTTTCTACGCAAACTAGTCTCTCAGTTTTAAAGCTATCTGCATGAAACTTTCCCAAAAGTTGTCTTGCTATTGCAGGTAGTATATAAGTCGGAACGAGCCGGATCGGACGACTATAGCATATAGCTCCTATAGGAACAATCGAAAAAATAAATTAAAAAAAATTATAGCTTTGCTGTTTTTTTAGTTTTTTATTTATTTCTTCAATAATTAGTATTGGTTAAATATTTTCCATTTACGGTTTAAATTTCATCAAAATCGGACAACTATAGCATATAGCTCCCATTGGAACAATCGCAAAACAAATACAAAAAAAAATATAACTTTGCTGTTTTTAAATTTTTCTTTTAGTTCTTCGACATATAGTAATGGTTAAATATTTCAGAATTACGGTTTAAATTTCATCAAAATCGGACGACTATATCATATAGCTCCCATAGGAACAATCGGAAAAAAAAATACAAAAAAAATTATAACTTTGCTGTTTTTAAATTTTTTTTTTAGTTTTTCGACACAGTAATTGTTAAATATTTCAGAATTACGTTTTAAATTTCATCCAAATCGGACGACTATATCATATAGCTCCAATAGGAACCATCGCAAAACAAATACAAAAAAAATTATAACTTTGCTGTTTTTAAATTTTTCTTTTAGTTCTTCGACATATAGTAATGGTTACATATTTCAGAATTACGGTTTAAATTTCATCAAAATCGGACGACTATATCATATAGCTCCCATAGGAACAATCGGAAAAAAAATACAAAAAAAATTATAACTTTGCTGTTTTTAATTTTTTTATTAGTTCTTCGACATATGGTAATGGTTAAATATTTCAGAATTACGGTTTAAATTTCATCAAAATCGGACGAGTATATCATAAAGCTCCCAAAGAAATAATAAAAATATATAAAATAACTATATAATAATTGAGCTGCAAATCATCATAGCTTCAATGTTTTTAGACATATACGCAAGTAAATCATAATTTTAATGTTTTAAAAAATATTAAATTTTTGCAATAGCTGCAAGGGTATATGAACTTCGGATTGCCGAAGTTTGCTTCCTTTCTTGTTTTATTTAAATTAAATTTTCAATGTGTGTGTTCAAGGTTTTGGTGGTGGTAAAAAGAAACTTTCTGTTGTTTCCCATAGGAAACAATTCTTTGTTTTTCAATTTACACCCAATACCTTATCTGATGCTGTTATGGAGTTTATTTAAGAAAAATACCCATCTCCAAACATTACCGATGATGAACTAATAACAGCCAGCTGTTCCTAATGGTTCTGCGTGCTCTGGAGTACTCCCTTCATCAGAAAGTCGGAGGAAAAATGTTCAAAGTGTTCAAGGTGTTGGTGGTGAGAAAAAATATGTCCGTTGTTACCCATAGGAAACAATTATTTGTTTCTCGGTTTACCCTAGAAACCACACCTGATGATGGTATGAAAATAATTAAAGAAAAGTACCCATCTCCAAACATTACAGTTGAAACATTTAAAATTTTCATTTAGTCTTCACAGAAACTTGGCTGAACCCGGAGATTTCCAACTCCAAACAACTTTAACACTTGTAGGTACTGATCGCGTTTCTCGTAGGGGAGGTAGGGTGCATATTGCTGTTAACTCCAGTTTTACATCGGAGATAATTCTGACTAATTACCCCAAAAAAATATAATTTGTTAGTGTAAAAGTTTCCTTACATGCCTACTTTTTTTGGGAACCTGTGCTTATATCCCCCCTCAGTCTGACATTTAAATTAATGAGCACTATTAGTCTGTTAATATGTTTTATCTCTTCTTTCTGACAGAGATCATTTGATTGTTTTGGGAGATTTTTTTTATCTTGGTCTGACCCACTTGTCTGCACACCTTTGTCGCATCATGACTTTGTTGATGGACTTTAAGACCTATCATTACAACAAATTAGCTTTATCCGTAACTCTTTAAATATGCAATTAGATCTTTAATTTGTTTTGGATCCGTCTGAGGTCGTTGTATCTAGGATTAACCTTCCCACAATGGAATTGACAATTTCCCTTCCCTGCACTGATACTTATTCCCATTTAGTTTGTAATAATAAAACGAAATGCTTCCGTAAATGCGACTTTAATAAACTAAACTACTTAATTTCATAGATATTGAAAGTGAATTATTCTGTAGCGTGAATGCTTTCCTGGCAGTCTTTCTCCAAGGCATAACAGACCTCCGTGGCTTACAAAAGAGATTCAATGATATAAAAACCTAAACAAACACTTACAAAAAGTACAAAAGGGGCAAGCCATCTGATTTTTCGAAATATCGGATTTTAATGTTCTTAACAGTCAATGCTATTCTATGTATTTGAAGCGGTGTAAAACCGGTTTTTTTAAACCAAAGCAATTTTATAACTTTGTAAATGTCAAGCGAAAAAACTCCGCCTTGCCCTCATTAGTACGATGAAACTCAACTGAGGCGTCTACTGACTCTGAGATTGGTGATTTAGTTCCTACAAACCACCTATAGTCCGGATTCTTGTCTAAATTCAGTTTACCCTTTCAATTTAAACAGGTCAAATTGTATTTTTTTCCCGGTAAAAACTTAAAGTTCGCTTCTAAAGGACTTTGAGACCACAACACCAACATACTGTGCGCTTAAGTTTTGTGCCTCAACTATTTGTAAACCGATTCTTAAGCTGTTTCAATTGTCAACTTCAAAATCCGTTTTTCCAAATATCTGTAATTTAGCTGTTTTTTAATTTTTTTCTTAGTTCTTCGACATCTAGTATTGGTTAATTATTTCAGAATTACGATTTAAATTTCATCAAAATCGGACGACTATATCATATAGCTCCCATAGGAACAATCGGAAAAAAAATACAAAAAAATTATAACCTTGCTGTTTTTAATTTTTTTTATTAGTTCTTCGACAAATGGTAATGGTTAAATATTTCAGAATTACGGTTTAAATTTCATCAAAATCGGACGAGTATATCATATAGCTCCCAAAGAAATAATAAAAATATATAAAATAACTATATAATAATTGAGCTGCAAATCATCATAGCTTCAATGTTTTTAGACATATACGCAAGTAAATCATAATTTTAATGTTTTAAAAAATATTAAATTTTTGCAATAGCTGCAAGGGTATATGAACTTCGGATTGCCGAAGTTTGCTTCCTTTCTTGTTTTATTTAAATTAAATTTTCAATGTGTGTGTTCAAGGTTTTGGTGGTGGTAAAAAGAAACTTTCTGTTGTTTCCCATAGGAAACAATTCTTTGTTTTTCAAATTACACCCAATACCTTATCTGATGCTGTTATGGAGTTTATTTAAGAAAAATACCCATCTCCAAACATTACCGATGATGAACTAATAACAGCCAGCTGTTCCTAATGGTTCTGCGTGCTCTGGAGTACTCCCTTCATCAGAAAGTCGGAGGAAAAATGTTCAAAGTGTTCAAGGTGTTGGTGGTGAGAAAAATATGTCCGTTGTTACCCATAGGAAACAATTATTTGTTTCTCGGTTTACCCTAGAAACCACACCTGATGATGGTATGAAAATAATTAAAGAAAAGTACCCATCTCCAAACATTACAGTTGAAACATTTAAAATTTTCATTTAGTCTTCACAGAAACTTGGCTGAACCCGGAGATTTCCAACTCCAAACAACTTTAACACTTGTAGGTACTGATCGCGTTTCTCGTAGGGGAGGTAGGGTGCATATTGCTGTTAACTCCAGTTTTACATCGGAGATAATTCTGACTAATTACCCAAAAAAAATATAATTTGTTAGTGTAAAAGTTTCCTTACATGCCTACTTTTTTTGGGAACCTGTGCTTATATCCCCCCTCAGTCTGACATTTAAATTAATGAGCACTATTAGTCTGTTAATATGTTTTATCTCTTCTTTCTGACAGAGATCATTTGAT